ACTTCAAAATTATAAGTTTATCGACTGTACTCGCGAAGATATTGCCATCTATCGCGACTAGTGCAAGATAAATTCATTGTTCTCAGGGGGAGTGTGTCGTTGCATGCAACTGTCAATGTAAAAATCAAGTTTTAGATAACAATGAATTATGTACAGTGTGAAAGCAAAATAATCTGTTGCATTATTGTTTAAAATCAAATAAATACTAAAATGATATGTATGAAAAATATATAAGTATATAATACACTTGTGAGGTAAGTAGATAGTATCATATGTGTCAAATAAATTTAAACTTTTTTAAAAGGCTCATATTAATGATATATAATATAAGTCATAATAGTTCTATAATTTTCAATAATTCACAGGTTATCCGCATCATTTGTTAATTAAAAATGATAGAAACCTCAGGATGGAATTCCAAGAAGATGAGAGCATCTACAAGGCTGCAGGTGCATGCACCTCGAAAGTATGGGGAGTTCTTTGAAAACCTGGTGGAAAAATCCTGGAGTGGCGACTCTTGCGCTGGAGTATGTTATAGAAGGTCCTCTACGTCTAGTTTACAAAGCTAAGGAGGATATCAGTATCATCTCCCTGGTGGAGATGGAAAACAAAGCACTGTCCAAGCTGCTGGCAGCTGTGGCAGGAACGTGCAGGGAAATCAGGCTGCTGAAGGTGGAAGCTGCTAATTTCTACACAAAACTCTTTGCACATGGAGAAAGATGTGCAGATAATGATCTCACTAATGTGACTAAATTGCTATCCGATCTGCAGGATCTATCCATTTTCGTTAATCGAATGTCAACTGTTGTGCACTTGACTACACAACAATTGGCAAGTCTATCTGGTGCCGTTCATGAGATCTATTTACCTACCCTAATTGAATGCTTTATAGATCTATTCGTGATCTTCATGACTCTTGATGAGATCATCGATGCTCAATCAACAATAGTAGATCTGTGGAAGAAATACAGGATGCATGTACGTTCCATGATGCACAATCCTTCGCAATTTGGCGTTGCTGAGGCAAAACTAGAGACATTCGATCACCTGTTGAAAGATCTTCAGGAAAATTATTACGAAGGAATATGCTTTCAAAAGCGATTGAACATGTAATGGATGTAAATAAGAGTGCAGTTATGAGCGAACAGATTGTCAGCTATTTGAAGAACACGATCACAGATGTGGAGACTAAATCCAACGATCATGCTGCGTTGAACAAAAATGGATAAGAGCTAACATTGGCGTTGCAGTGGTGATAAAGCTATTTGGTACTTGCGATCGAAGATTAATTAAGAGAGTGCTGGAGGCGAACAAGAGGTTCTACGCGGTCACGTTGGTGGGAAACGTGATTTGGGTACCTAGCAAATTCCTCAGCAACATTGTGCCAAAGGAAACTGGTACAGCCGTGAGCTCGCAGATAGGCGAAAAGATTCTACAGGCGAGAACGCAGAGATTGCCGATTGTAGTCAATAGTCTGATACACCGAGCAACGACCTGGTGCGTAGAGATGCAGAGTATTCTGACGAGGACAAATCTTCAAGTATCTGACATCGGGCAAAAACGTACATTGCTGACGGATCTGCTAGCTCTCTTGTCGCAGATGCGAGAAACGGTCGCATTCGTAACGAATCTTCACGCTTTCCTGTCGAAGCCTATGAGCCGCAACACGGTGCAACTGATCTGCAGACTCGTGGAGTTGCAAAAGTCCCTGCAGACAACGTTCTATACGCTTGGACCGATCGTGGTGCAATCGCAGGCGCAAGTGCTGCAGTATTTAGCTTATTACATGTTAGCTATGCTGGAGACAGCGCGCAAGGGTCTTGTTCAGAAGGACAAAGGCTACAGCAGGGAGCGATTGGACGCGCTATCCCTGATAGGACTCGCTATGCGGCTGATAAGCGGTCCGGCGAGCGCTGATAGACGGCTAATAGTGCGTTGCACCCTGGCATGTGCCAGTCAATTGACCGATACCTTCCGCGAAGAGGACGTGGTGAAGCTACGGTTCCTCCTGGACAGCTACGACGCCGTGGCCGAGCTGCACGAGCTGGTTGACGAGCTCGGTGATTACTCGTTGCTGTTGCATCATCAGAATATGCTGCCCGCCTACCTTTCCTCAGTCGTCGACGGTAACACCGGGGTCTGCCACGTCGCTCATCTGTTCGCCGCCTTCAACAGCGCCGTGGGCGAACAGGAGTTGGTCGAACTCAGGGAAAAACACATCGCGGAGCTTAGGAGAGCCTGGTGAAAAGCGTATTGAAACCAGCTTGCCATGAAATCGAGACCAGTCTACGATTACATGTGCACGCCCATCTTAAACTAGACTCTACGAACCCTTTCAACATTGGGGCCAAGGACAGTGGCAGAGTGGTGCGTATTCCGCCATTATCCTTAGCTGAAAACATGGTCTGCACCAAAAGATTCGTCGAGCATTATCTGGATGATATGTTCTATAATCTGACAACGGTCGCTCTGCATGATTGGAGAACCTATCGGATGATGCACACGTTGGCCAGCTATAAGATGGGTCTAGGCACAGTGCAAGATCATCTGCCGACGCAGACCCTCGAACAAGGCTTGGATGCTTTAGAAATTATGCGTAACATCCACGTGTTCGTTTCCAGGTAGAGTCGAATTCTATTCACAATTAATATCTAGAAAAATTAATATATATTATTAATATTTGATCGCTTTGTGCAGGTATCTTTACAATCTGAACACGCAGACATTCGTGGAGCGCAGCAGTGGTAACAAGCATCTCAACACCATCGGCATCCGACATATCGCCAATTCGATTCGCACCCACGGCACTGGTATCATGAGCACCACGGTGAACTTCGTCTATCAATTCCTGCGCGTTAAGCTGCACACGTTCTCGCAGTTCCTCTTCGACGAGCACATCAAGTCCCGTCTGATGCGCGACATCAGGTTCGTCCGGGCGCAACGGGAAGCGGGCGTCATTCCGTACACGTATGAGCGAGCGGAAAAATTTCAGAAGGGCATCCGAAAACTAGGGATGACCTCGGACGGGTTAAGCTACTTGGACCAGTTTCGCCAGTTGATCACGCAGATCGGCAACGCACTCGGTTACGTGCGATTGATCCGTTCTGGTGGTCTTCATGCTAGCTCCAATGCGGTGTCCTTTCTGCCGGATATTGAGAAGACTGTGCCCTTCGAAGCGCTCTGTCGTGGACTGAATTACAGCGTCGAAACGCAGGCTGCGGCTAGACGACTGGAGGACGACATCGCCGATCTTGTCCGCAACTTCACCGAAGGCATTCAGTACTTCAAGCTACTAGTGGACGTGTTCACGGCGGCGTTTCGCGACGCCAAGTCTTATCATCTGCAGCAGTTCTACGCTATCGTGCCGCCGTTGACGCTGAGTTTCGTAGATAATTCCGTGTCGAATAAAGAAAAGATGTTTAAGAAGAACCAAACTGGCGCGGCCTTCACCGACGATGGCTTTGCCATGGGTATCGCCTACATCAACGCACTACTCGATCAAAACGCAGAGCTGGACGGTCTGCATTGGTTCAAGACGGTGGATGAGCACATCGCCCAGGAAAAATTTGCCGCTGATAGTAAAGACGACCACGGAGACGAGAAGCTTCAGCAAACCAGAGCGCTCACTCTCCAACGTCTCGCCGAGAGGAATGCAGAATTCCAGCTATTGTACTATAGTCTTTCTGGTGCTAGAGTGTTCTTCAAACAACCCGATACGTAACGCGAGAATACGGATGTTATTTTGATACTTCAATATTGCATCTGGGTCTCGATTTCTTAATTGATAAGGGAGAAATAATCGATACAAGTTATAAATAGGTAAATATGCACTTGGAACTATTTCTTAATTTTATTCCTAATTTTGAGTTTGAACAGAATTTGAATAAATATAATGCAGTCTAGCGTCTCTTTCGATTTTATTGTATATAAGTCATTCTATACGAAAACGTACAAATGGTTCAAGCTAAAATTTGTTGAAACCTATATGAACAAATTCAACGTATATACGTAAATTGTTACAATTTCAATTTTTTAGTATCTTTGTAAGTTTCCAGGTCGGTAATTACTAAATTAGAATTATAAAATTCATAATAGCAAATCCAATATGACCGCTGCATATGTAATGTTTTTTGTTTTATATTCTTCGAAATAAAAAATATTGCACAATGCAGCGGTCATATTGGATCTGCTATTTTGTAATTTTGATTGCAGATTAATAATCACCGACATTGGAAACTTACAGAGATACCAGAGAAAATTGTAACGTATACCAGTCTACACATATATTAAATTTTCTGAAAAACTTTTTCGGAATTACTCAAAAAATGGCTTTGTGTCAGGGGCCAAGTAGCATTTAATTCTACATGAAAAAAGCTAAAATTTGACTCTTCATATGTACATTTCGACAAATTTTGGCTCGAGCCATTTTAAGTTTTCATATGGAATGACTAATATATATACATATAATATCATAGAGCGCATGTTATTTTGTAAATGACTTAGATTCTTTACAACCATTTTTATAAATATTTTCTACATTCACAATATCAGATTCTCGTTCAATAAATAATGGCTAGACTGAGCGACTAGGATTTATTATGCCTAAAAAAAAGATGCATTTGCTACTCGCAAGAGTAAGTAGAATCGAAAGAGTAAGTGAATGAAGGCATTTATGTGATTTTTTAAGCTTTAAATTTACTCAAATTCATGAGTAATTGCTCGTCGCAATAGTATGTATGCGTGCATGCGTGTGTAATTTCTGCAGAAAATTATCATTAAACTGTTACAGAATAACTACTATTTAATAAATAATCTAAAATAATGTAAATTTCTCAGAACATGTAGCCTTCATCCACTACTTTCAATTAATTACTCAATTCACCCAATTTAACTGATTAATTTCACTTTCTTGATAATTGAATTTTTCAAAGGAATCGTTTCCAATCTGGAGTTCGACATTATTTTCTAAATTTTTAACAAACTATTCTGTCTATAATAACATTAACGCACTATTGGCGTATGACAGACATAGACATATATACACAATATGATCAACTATTTTCATAGCTGCACGTGCTAAAAAGCAATCGCATTGCGTTACTTTGCATACAATAAGAACCTGATCTCTCTTATATTAATTATCATTTGAAACGATCGCTATCATTCTTAATTAAAACTAAGTATTTTCCAATGTCAGCAATAATCTTTTTAGATTATTACTGGATAAATTCTCGCAAAATTTTCTCATACAAATTTCTAAACAATTACACACTATTAATACACAATAATACAGATAATCGCAAGCAACATGTATCACAACAAAATATAAAATCTATTAAATAAAATTTACGTTACAATATCGCAATAAAATATCACATTAAATTTATCAGAATTAAAACAGATCTATATCCTGATTAGGAAATACATTAAGATTAATTAATGTATACTATCCCTACATACATACATACACACATATATATATATATATATATATATATATATATATATATATATACATATACAATATGTATATCTGCATACCGAAATATGATTTTTTTTTATAATTTTGTATATTGTTTCTCTCAAACTTTCTTCTTGATATTAATTTTTCTTTCTCTATAAATTTTTATCTTTTCGTTTAATACGCCTTTGGATCCTCAGCCTAGCAATTTCATTATCTCTGTTCAGCTAATTATCTCCATCACGTAAACCAGAAACATAAATCACTAATTAAATTATGTACGACGCTAACATAATTTTCATTCGTCTCGCGCAAATTACGCGACATGGATATGCTTGTTTTTGTGACATTTAAATTACACTTAAGCTGTGAACGCCATTAAGTTTGCTCTGTCTTTACAATAAAGTAAGACAAGAGTATAGATATTCCCTGTAGAATCATAGTTACAGATGTTTCCTTAAGATTGAGGTTTCAATGACTCTTCTGGATCCAAGAGATCGTCACATGAAGCTGTCGGTGGCAACAATTGCCTGCCCCCGCGTTTCTTACTGCGTGTGAATACTTTCGTGAGTTGTGCGAATTTACGTCGAGATACTGTAGAATAAGAATATTCATTATTAGAGAGAAAGAACAGATAAGTCACACATTACGATTCTTAATTTTATTTCTTTTTTAACTAGTTACTTACATTTGCCCATGTTCTTCAGTCTTTCCTTAAATAAATCCTCGTCATCATGACCAGTCTGAGCACTGCACTTTTCGAGTTTCGAATCTACAAAAGAAGAAAAGATATTTATTGTTTTTTTTTTATAAGTATTGACATTAGTGGATAGATGCATAACATTCTCCTAAATATATTATCATCTTGTAATTCTTTAAATTCTTTACCATGTTCCAACGTGGATAGAAAATCTTCATTCCAACGAAGTTCTGCCATAAACTCCTCGTTCTGTAAAAACATGGCAATTCTCTCATCTTCCAACATGGAGTTCTCTTGCGAGTACACTGAATCAATGCCATCATCCGATATCATTTGCTGGGGCAGTCTTAGAAAGGTATCTGGCAATGGTCCCAACAATGGTGGCTGCCACTTATGTATAGATCTTAACGATTTGCTAGAATCTTTCCTAGGTGACTTTGCAGTGCTTGGCAATTCTTCTTTCTGCTCCAATTCACTCCTAATCTTCTCATTCTCGTTGTCAGTACTCATAGTGAGTAACTGATCAATCGTAGTATCCACAGCTCCCTGATTGGATCTTAGCACAGCCTGACAAACAATGTAAGTGAATTCAATTTACTTGTGTTAATTAATATGAGCAATGTGTTTACTATATCTACAAATTCAATATTTTTACCTCTATCACATCGTCATCCATCTGTGGAAACATGTTCTTAAAGTCAGCCATCGCCTGGTAAAATTCCAGCGTGGTCTGCTGCTGTTGCTGCTGCTCCGTAGCAGAAGCCATAATGAAGTTTTCAGACAGAGATTGATGGACAGCTGATTATAATTGGAGAATAAATTGTTAGAATTGCAAAAATAAAAATCTGTACATATATTAAAACTACGCATATAAAAACGTACAAACACCTGCTGATGATCTTCAGGAAGTGACAGCGTTATCCATGCCTGCAAACACCGGTTTACGTTGTTACGTCAACCCGATCTTTATTTAGTGTCAATTAGCATAGTATCATCTTTCGAAACGGTTAATTAGTCGAATGAACGTGCGACGTGTTTAGAAAACGAAAGATCCGCTGTCAGTCTATGCATATATCATTTTATGTACTAAACGAACACCAAAAAGTTCCTCTTCCTTGGAGTTGGTTGGCACCGGGTGGTTAATGTTAATACGTCCACTTCTCACACGATCACATCAAGAATTGTCAATCATCAAAATCTGCTCACCATAGAAATGTAATATACATAGATAGAGAATTAGTTGCAAAGAAAATGGCTAGAGAGAAGAGAGCGGCCACCGGGATTCAGCAGTTGCGTGTACAGCGTCCCCTGACAAAGTGGACATAAACTACGTCGTGACGCTCGGTAAAAAGCACGGTAAGTAGTTCGATTCCGTGATATGGTTTCACCACAGATTAATAGACAGATCGCCAAAGGTCTGGATGAAGGAGAGACCAGCATTTCTCACTGATTTCAGCGCCATATCGTAGTAGTGGTCAATGCAGTAACTATTAATACGTTCCCAAGATAAGAGCGTCTCATGCTCATGAACTCGTCCGGCGGCATGTACGAGATTTATCTTTTCGTAGCGTTCGCGTATTTCGGAAAGGACAGAATTTTATGATGTTATAAATAAATAAATAAATAAATAAATAAATAAAATATTAACCTGACCTATTATAATTATTTTTTAATAAATGTTTCATTATTATTATCATCTAAGTCTAAGACGTTTAATTAATTTTTAGTTTTTTAATAATTAATTTAATTTATTCTAATCATTTTAATATGTGAAAAATACTAATACGTATACGTTTTATAATGAATTAATATATTTCGAGAGTCGAATTATATATTTTTAATAATATAAAAGTGTTCAAAAATTATATTTGACTTTTAATTTTAATTATTTTAGCAAAGAGTTCCGAAATCTCTTACACACATAATAGGGATTTTGTTCATCCATATAATTCGCAATTAAGTATATATGTTAATTATTAATTTTAATAAAATACAAAATTAAAATTAAAGGTCAAATATAATTTTTGAACATAAATATATTTAATTCGTTATAAAACGTATACCCGTGATAGTATTTTTCTCGTACAAAAATAACTAGAACAAATTAAATTACTCATAAAAAAATTAAAAAATAATTAAATAATTTATATTATATATGATAATAATAAAACATTTTATAAAAAAAACAGATTCAATAATATAAGTATATATATAACATGTACTTATATTTATTGAATCTGTTTTTTAATAAAATGTTTTATAAGCTTAGAAAACTTGACTTTGACGTAACTAGCAAATTTTATTTAATTATTTCACGACGGTTTGACGTAATAAAATGTTTTATTATTATTATATAAAATATAAGTTTAAATTCTTTAATTAATTTTTAATCTTTTATGATTTTAATTTACTCTAATTATTTTTGTACGAGAAAAATACTATCATGGGTATACGTTTTATAATTAATTTAATATATTTGTGTTTAAAAATTATATTTGATCTTTAATTTTAATTTTTATTTTATTAAAATTAATAATTAACATATATACTTAATTGCGAATTATATGGATGAAAAAATCCCCATTATGTGTGTAAGAGATTTCGGAACTCTTTGCTATAAAATAATTAAAATTAAAAGTCAAATATAATTTTTGAACACTTTTATATTATTAAGAATATATAATTCGGTTCCCGAAATATATTAATTCATTATAAAACGTATACGTGATATTATTTTTCTCATATAAAAATGACTAGAATAAATTAAATTAATTATTAAAAAACTAAAAAGTAATTAAACGACTTAGACTTAGATGATAATAATAATGAAACATTTTATTAAAAAAGATTCAATAACTAGTAGGTCAGGTTATAATTTTTTTTATTTATTTTTTATAACATTATGAGCTATTAAGCTCATCATCTCGTTCGCTCTCTGTCTTGCTTTCATTCGGCAAGTCACAAACGATATATGATACTCGTATGTTCCTACTTCAACTCTCGAGAATCTGAAACAAACGAAACTCGTGTCCAATATACAGGGTGTCCGGTAACTAACGAACCAACGATTACAAATGAACTCTTTGGTCAATTTGGGAACAATTTTTCCTCAGCGAAAATGTCGAAAAAGGTCATCATTTTTTACAACTTTCCAATCGTTGTCATTATGTATCTTTATAACTAAGCCTTAAATTAAAATTTTATTATAGTAAACTCTACCTGAAATTAACTGAAGAATGTAATTATGTTAGACTTTTAACTCCAAAACGTTTAGTTTTCAAAAAACCTATTTTTTTCAATCGCTTATAACTCGAAAATTATTGACTTCTCAACATTTTTGCTAAGGAAAAATCGTCTCCAAATTGGCCAGAGAATCCGCCCTTAATCATTGGTCCGTTAGTTACCAGACACCTTGTATATATTATATAAAAGTGTATAGCACGTCAGAAGCTTGTGAGCTTACAGCGATAAGTAAAAACAATTGCGTATTTATTTCATTGCGTTTATCTGTTTAAACGCGCGCTTTAATTTTTCCAACGTTTTTGCCTGTTTATATTTTAAAGTCCTCTCTTCTAAAAATCTTGTTTTAAAGATCCTCTCCGCGAGCAAAATTCGAAAACATAATTATTTAATATAAATTTAACGTATAAGACGGGCAACAAGAGCC